AAAAAAGGACTAGGAATATAGCTCTGTGGCAAAGCACCCCTGAGTTCCATCCCCAACACTAAATAAAATAAATAAAATTCCTACAATGCTCATGCTTTATGGCTTTATTTTCTTTAGTTCTTTTCATCAGTTAACATACTAAATATGTTATTTATTTAATAATTAATTTAAATTTTTTATTATTATGTCTTCTCTCACTCAAATATAAGTTTTTATGAAGTCAGAGAATACTCTGCTTTATTCCTGGCAACTAGGAAAGTGCCTGGTGCATAGTAGACTATAAGTATTTGAGGAATAAGTGAATGAATGAGTAAAAGTAAACAATGCTTTTAGCAATGAGCAAAAGCTATAAAACAGAGAATAGAGGGAAAGAGGTACAGATGTCATGCTAGCCCTGAAAAAGGGAGATGGCTGACAGTCTTTGCTTTTCTATTCTATTTGTAGAAAAAAGCTACAAAAAACCTCAGGGGTTTAGATAAATGACCCAGGGGAGCTCTTTTAGGAAGCAGTGGATTGGAGTTCTAGATATAAAATCTAGCCCTCAGCTTTAAAGGCAACTAACTGTAAGAGGGGACTTATATCCAAGTTAAGTCAGCTAGAAATAAAGTTTCATTCAACACTCAGAGTTAGAAAAAGACATAAAAACCATCCCCTGTAATAAAATTAAGATTTTTTACCACTGGGATGCTAAGTCAGAAAAACTCCCTTCAAGGTTTACTTTTGCTTAATTCTGTTTTCTTGTTATTGTTGTTGTTGTTGGTCTGCAGATTGAAGCCAGGAGCACTTTACCACTGAGCTACATCCCCAGTCCTTTTCCTTTTTTATATGAGACAGGGCCTCACTAAGTTGCTAAGGTGGGCCTTGAACTTGTGGTCTTCCTGCCTCAGCCCAGAGAGTTGCTGGGATTCTAAACATGTGCCACAGTGCTCGACTATTTTTTTTTTTTTTGGTGATTCTATAAATTACAGTTGAGCTCTCTCTATAAATGTATATTGAATGTACAAATATTTTAGTGAACCAATTCAATAAAAATCTTAGAGATATTGTTTTAAATAAGTAACAACTGTGAATAAAAGGTAACCACTTATACATGCATATTCATTATTTAAATAGATATGCATATTCATTATTTAAATAGGTGTCCTTTAATTCTTGAATCCTGGTTGAGTTTTTGTTTTAAAGAGGTACCTAATAGAACACTCAATTTTCTCTTTGACCTTAACCAGAACTATAGAGGCTTCACTGTTTTAATCACCATCCACTCACTTGCCCAGTGCATAAGTCAGACTCACAGTCCTCCCTGGTTTCTCCTAACATTAACATTGAGCCTTCCTTTTTGTCTATTTCCTAACTATCCTTAGAATCTAATCCCTTTTCTCCATCCTCCTTACCCATCATCATCTCTTGCCTGAATTGCTGTATCTAACTGGGCTTCCACTTTGCCCTCCAAAACAGTTTTCCTCAAGACAGAGTAATCTTTTAAACAAAAGACTTATCATCTCTCTCCTTTTGTCAGGCTTCTTGAATAGATTCAAATAAAGTCAAAATATTTAACATAGCCTATAAGGGCACTGCCTGACTTTGCTGCTGAATCAGTATAGCATCATGAGCGAGGCTAACTTTGAATCCCAGTTTTATTTTCTAGCTGTGTGACCTTGAGTAAATTACCTCTCTATGCCTCAGTTTTCTCATCTATAAATGGGGATAATAGTAGATGCTATCTCCCGGAGCTGTTGTGAAGACTGAATCAATTACACAAATAGCATAACACAGAACCTGGCACATAAATTTTATATAATAATTATTATATTATTATATAGTATTAGCTATTATCTCCCTAATTCTTTGCTTCTCCTTGACTCTGTTCTAGTCATTCTGTATCAGATAGGCCCTATATAGAATTTCCCAGGAATCTGCTCCTAGGACCTCCCACACCCTGCTCCTGTACCTGGAATACTCTGGCCCAAATACTCCTCTCTTCTTCCCATCTTCCTTCTTCCACCACCACTTGCTTTGGGAAGCTTTTCCAGGCCAGGCAAGTTGCTCCTACTACAGGTTTCTCTGGCACTCAGGAAGGACTGCTAGATGTCAATTAAACTTGAATGTCAGAAAATGAAAAAATAATCTCTCAGTAAAAGCATGTCTCATGCAATTTCTGGATTTCAGATAAAAAATGAATAGTTTTTTTCCTATAAATATGTAGCATGCAATATTTAGGACATATTTATGCTAAAAAATTATTTCTTATTTATCTGGCTTTCAAATAAGCACATATGTTGTTTTCTCAATCAACCCTAAACCCAGGAGATCCTATGTTATCACTATTATCTCCCTTCAATAATTTAAATCAGTGACTTGTTGTTTTCCCCACAGAGTGTCATCTCTGCAAGGGCAGGGCCTACACAATATTGCTCACTGCTTTAGGAACAGCATCTGGCATAGCGGGCATTCCACAAATTCTGAGCTAAAACTCAGGCAATACCCTCATAGTACAAAGCATTTTTAGCAAGGTAATAAGAGCCTCACATCCATAAGTGATCAAATGATAGTACTACTTTTCAAAATGTCTCAATGTGGTAACATTGTTGTCTCCACAAGGACAGTTTTAAGGTGACCCCATTATTTTACATTTCAAAAGGACTTTGAGTTTTTACACCTATTTCACTCAACCCTCAAGGAAATTAATAATATCTACATATAACAGAGGAGGATGTGGAGACTTGGAAATGTCTTGTCCAATATGGCCAATATATGGAGCAATAGTTTCGATCCTGGGAGTTGACCCATGCTCTTTTCACTGTACCACATTGGTAGTCTGGGCTGAAAGGAAAAAATCAGAACTCCTGAATTTGTTCTCTTCACCCAGAAAGCTTTTCCAAGAAGAATTCTGATATCTGACTCCTCTCTACAAATTCACTAGCCTCTCCCATAATGTTCCCCAACAATAGAGAGGAGACAGGCCAGGCACCTTGCATTTTGAAAACTTCTCCTAGATGAGTCTAAGCTAATTTCCCAAGGTATAGAAAATACTATTTATTTGAATTGAGAGAATAAAGAGCTGTCTTAGAGTTACAGGGAAATAGGATTAACAGAGGCCAGAACTTGAAATTTCTTCATTTTCTTTCACTTGCATCTCTAGGAGACTCCACCCACCCTCTCACTAAAATTTCTAGTGACAGAATTTTGCATTTTGATTACACAGATGTATCAGTTTTCTTCTGGAACGAGGTTGGGATGGCTAAACCTGCTGGTAGTGTGGCATCTAGTAACTATGCTTCCTGGAGCACTTCTGGAAAGTTCAGGCTTAGTGTATCTGGACTTTATGCTCTAGGATGCTCATAAGATGGGTTAGATGTTACCTAAGGGCCCATTCTCCTAAAGGATTAGACCCTCAGGAAGATTCACTCAGGCCAAAGAAGGACTCTAGCTTCTACCAGGACTGGAGTCTGTGGACTAAACCAGTGAAGCACCCTTCAGTGCTTCGTCCAGTCCAGCCCCTTCCCTTCTGTTTGGGCGCCTCCCCAACATTCCTGAGCTCTCTTCATGAAGGAGCAGGGAATAACCAAGGAAGGACTGGGCTTCTCAGGGCAGAGAGTTAGAAGCTAATGACCTAAAACAGAACAGCCCGTTGTGAACGCTTTGATAAAACTAGAACTGCCACCCCACTACAACGTTATGTTCTTCAATAGCTGCAGCTTCTAGACTTATTTGGCTTGGGGAGAAAAGTGCTGGAGAAAGTACTATTTAGAAAGCTGCAGACTTTTTTCTTCTTCTTTAAAACCAGGGAATAAACCCAAGGGCGCTTACCCCCCAACCACACCCCCAGCCCCCCTCCCCCCTTTTTTTTTTGATACTGGGGATTGAATTCACAGGCACTAGATCACTGAGCCACGTCCCCAGCCCTATTTTGTATTTCATTTAGAGACAGGGTCTACTGAGTTGCTTAGCGCCTCCGTTTGCTGAGGCTGGCTTTGAACTCATGATCCTCCAGCCCCAGCCTCCTCAGCCGCTGGGATTACAGGCTTGTACCACGCCTGGCTCCCAGACCTTTTTATTCTTTATTTTGAGACAGGGTCTTACTAAATTGCTCAGAGCCTTGCTAAATGGCTTCGCACCTGCGATCCTCCTGTCTCAGCCCCGCCAAACTGCTGGGATTACAGGCGTGAGCCACCACGCCCGGCTGCAGCCATGCTTTTTGATGTATCTTTGGACAGTTTTATGTTTTGTTGGATCATGAATGACTGTCTGTGGGGCTAGCTTCTACATACACAGCATCACAGAGCAGCACTGCCAAGGCTTCGCTCCCCGAGACCCGCGGAAGGAAGGGTAGTGACGGAAACAAAACACCTATGCATATGAATTCACATTACTGGTATGGGTCTCTGAAAAAAACAAACAAACAAAAAAGCTGCTGACAAAATTCTAGCCCCACCTTCATTTGGAGCTCAGAAACAGACCTTGATTTACAAAATCACCGACCAGAGTTAAAGCCAGCGTGAAGGGGCTGGCACGTATCTAGACCATCTGCTTTGGACAGGCAGATAATCCCTGGAGAATCTTTTTTCTCCCCGTGCAGCCGGAACTCCTCAGCTGGGCCCGTGGCTCACCTGGCTGGGCAGACTCTCCTACTCCGATCGGCTCCGCGCGCCCAGCTACCGCCACTAGCCGAGCTCTGGTTGCCCAGGTAACTCGGGACGCGCGCGAGCCGGCGGCGGAAGGCGGGTGCGCGGCGTGGGTAGCGCCTGCTCAGCTCAGTTGAACGCGGAGGCGACGCGCAGCTAGAACTCCGAGGGGAGTGGCTCTTCAGCCGCGGCTCTGGTGCAGCTCTGGGCTTAGCCAGTGAGGAGCCAGGGGGTGTGGTCCAGGGAAGGGGCAGGTGGACTACTTAGGACCGCACCAGCCACGGGACCCCGCCTCCCCACGCGTATCTGTCGTGCGTACGTTTGCAGCCCGCCGCAGCCCGGGCGTTGGGGGTAGTAGAGCGGCCACCTGGCTACGCCATGGTGACCCCCTGCCCCACCAGCCCCTCTGCCGGAGCAGGGAGGCTAGACAACAACCAGAATTTTCGAGCCCCCGTGAAGAAGAGCAGGCGCCCGCGCCTCCGGAGGAAAGAGCCGCTTCAGCCCCGGAACCCCTGCACGCCCCGAGGAGACTCCGGAGTTTGCGACCTTTTCGAGTCTCCCAGCTCCGGTTCGGACCTTGCAGACAGCCCCGCCGAGTCGGTGGCGCGAGACTGTAGCCCCCTGCCGGGTCCTGCCCGGCCGCTGGAGCCGCTAGATCTACAAACCTTCCGGGACTACGGCCAGAGCTGCTACGCTTTCCGTAAGGCTCAGGAGAGCCGCTTCCATCCGCGGGAGTCTCTGGCGAGGCAGCCACAAGTGAGGCGCTGGCACAGCCAGTCCCCCGCCGCTGCTCTTGCTCTCCCAGGCTCTCTCCTTTTCTGCTTTTACCTTTCGCGGCGCCGTGAGCAGCGCGTCTCAGTCCCTGCCCCCAGGCAGAGCAAGAGAGGCCTTCCAGGGCCAGGTCACGGTCCTCAATTTACAGTGGGAGAAAAGTAGATGGCTTAAGTGACCTGCCGCAAGTCTTCAAACTAACGGGGCAGTGAAGAGTGCAAAGGAGTTAGTTTCTGGGTTGAGCCCGAACTCCTACAGACCTCGGGCAATTTACTTAACAATCCTAAATTCGTTTCTTCGTCTGCAAAATGGACTACTCATCCACCCCTACCTTCCATCGAATTGCTGAGAGGATTACTCGAGGCAATGAGTATGCCGAGCTGGTACAGCGCCGGGCACGAATCCAGCCCTCTTTCCCCAGCGGCACTGCCCTCCTGTTTCTCAGTTTCTAGGGCACTTAGCTTTTTCCTCTTCTCCCTTTCTTTGGGGAAAGTTCCCTGGGCCGACCTGACCCTTCCTTTCTGGAGTTCCCCGCCCCGACTTCCCCCCAGTTTAGCTCTAGGCTCAGCCTCCTCGCCTTCCTCCTCCCTCTCGGCAGGTGACTGCGGAATCCCGTTGTAAACTGCTCAGCTGGCTGATCCCAGTGCACCGCCAGTTCGGCCTCTCGTTCGAGTCACTGTGCCTGACAGTGAACACTCTGGACCGCTTCCTCACCACCACACCAGTGGCTGCAGACTGCTTCCAGCTGCTTGGAGTCACCTCTCTGCTTATCGCTTGCAAACAGGTATCTTGACGAGGCATGGGGCTTCGGGTGCAGCCAAACTCCCTTCCATTCTCTGGCCACACGGTTCTCCAGCGCAAGGTTTCAGTGTGTTGATTTCTTTTGCCAGAGGCTTGCGAATCTATAGATTCTAAGGCTTAACTTCATGATCCTCCTATAAACCAAGAATCCTTTCACTCAGCCCCCCAAGAAGTAAATCGTAGTTAATCCCCAAAAGTTTTGTGGCACCTCTGTTCTAGTCGGGTCGGGGAGCAGGCTCAAAAATTCCCAAACCTTGTTTTTAATCAAACAGTAGAGAAGCTACTTTGGAAGTACATACTAGGTGGAGTGGTGGAAAGGTTAAGCCAGGCCCTCTCTCTGGAAGGGATGATGGGGAGACACAGTTTTCTACTGGGTTTCAGACTGGTAAAGCCTCAGCCCTGGAAGCAGAGAGGCAGGGGATGAATGCACACTGTGTTGCAGGTGGAGGTGCACCCACCGCGCGTGAAACAGCTTCTGGCCCTGTGCTGCGGAGCCTTCTCCCGGCAGCAACTCTGCAATCTCGAATGCATCGTGCTGCACAAGCTGCACTTCAGCCTGGGTGCCCCCACCATCAGCTTCTTCCTGGAGCATTTCACTCACACCCGCGTGGAGGCCGGACAGGCTGAAGTCTCCGAAGCCCTGGAAGCACAAACCCTGGCACGGGGGGTGGCTGAGCTAAGCCTGGCTGATTATGCCTTCTCTAGCTATGCTCCCTCCCTGCTGGCCATCTGTTGCCTGGCGCTAGCAGATCGCATGCTGCGGCTTCCACACCCGGTGGACTTGCGCCTGGGCGAACACTCAGAGACGGCGCTGCAGGACTGCCTGGGAAAGCTGCAGCTGCTGGTGGCCATAAACAGTACCTCTCTGACTCACATGCTGCCCCTCCAGATTTGCAAGAAGTGCAACCTGTTCCCAAGCTTGAAATAAAGCAGACCCTTGGGCTTCTTCTATTCTCTGGTCCCAGAGGTTGGGCATTGCTTCTGAAGAGTGCAGTATTGGGGGCAGGGGAATGAATATTCAGGACTCCTGCTCGCCATCCTGTGGGTTGTCCATCTTGCACCTCAGCATAGCAGAATCTAATAATTTATTGTGCACTAAACAAATGAGGGAGCTGTCTTTCCCCCTTTCCCCAGTAAAGAGGCTGTTTTTTATTTTTTTTTTAAATCTGAATGCTGCTATTGCCCTGTCTGTCCTGGGGAAGGAAGGTGAAGTCAGCCTCAGAATGGGGCAGCTGAAACTGTTCCAGGGATGCTCTCCTCCCACTGATTCACTTTGGAGTTAGCATCTCTGTGAAACCCATTTGGCAAGGTTTGGGATGCCACTATTCCAATGATAAGACCAATCAGGGTCACTTGTCTGCTTGAATTCTGTGACTCTTGTGTTAGGAGCATGAGGACTGTGCAACCCAGGGTTACAAAGGGTGTGCTGGGGTGTGAGACAGAGTAGAACCCACAAAAGTCTGTGATGTGCAGAGGGGCCATAGGTTGCACTTGCTAGTGAATGTGATGGCAGAGGTGGGAAACCATGTAGGCACACCAGCAGAGGGCAAAAAGCAAGAAATATTTCAGTATAGAATCCTACATCTACCAACAGATGTTGAAAAGGAAGGCTTTGCAGGCTGTTGGGGCTATTGAGCCCATTTCCTTGTAGCCACCTCATTAATGCTGCTACATGTGAGCTCAAGGTAATGACTGGATTATAGTGGTGAAGGTTATATAGAGTGCTTGTGATTTACTAGGCACTGTTTATCATTAGTTATTTTGATCATCTAACGGTTGTTTCAAGCAGTCTACTATCCCAGTTTTCAGAGGATTACACTGGCACACAGAAAGGACTCGAAGGCTGGTGATCTGAGTCCACCCTTAGCCACACTGCTAAGCTTCTCCAATTTATAGGTTTCTAACCATTCTCAACAAAATCTGTTCCCAAAATAGGTGCCACACAGTTATTTACTCAGTGTTCACGGTTCATTAGCTCAGTTGGTAAAGTGCTTGCCTCACATGCACAAGGCCTTGGATTCAATCCCCAGCTCCACAAAAGCAAAACTATAGAGTCAGCATGGTCCTTACTTCCAGTCATAAGGATTCATGATATAGATAGGAAAACTGGGCTGGGAATTGAGATAGAAGCTTGCTTGGTTTCTGTGGTGCTACAGTTGTCACATCATCATTCTCCCTGTCAAGAATCTCCTTTAGGCCCTGAATCTCAGCTTCTTAACCTCTTTGAACTCTATAATTGAAACCAGGGTTGTTGTAAAGTCTAAGTGAGATTAAGTTTAAATGTGAGGCAGTATCAAGTAGTGAGTCAACAAGTAAGGCTCTGGAGTCAATTTGATGGTTGACCTTATGCAGGTATATGCCCACATCCCATCTATAAAAATGGGTATAATGGTAGCATCTGTTTGAAAGTGTTGGAGTACGACTGTAATGAGAAGCTCTATATAAGCACGGGTGGCAAATAGTGTCTTCAAAAAGCAAAGACTAACCTACACAATTAGGAGAAGGATCCTACAGGGGCAAAACAAAACAAAACAAAACAAACAAACAAAAAAACCACAACTTGGGACAAAGAAATAGAGGGAAATGTTAATGGGGGATGTGAATATATGGTTCATTGAATTGTTTTTGCCTTTTAAAAATTTCTGTATGGTTGAAAAAATTTATAATAAAAAGTTTTGGAGTTTTTATTTGTATGGCAAATAAAAAGCAAACAAACTCAAAGCAGACTAAAGCTTCTTTGTACTTCTCTCCACATAGAGAGTACTCTAGAGCCTAGGGTCCTTCCTTTAGACCTCTGTTGTCCTGATAAGTTGACATGTATCCAGGAACATTTCCTCCTTGGTACCAGGAGAAGGAAATGATGATTCCCCCATCTGTGGAAAAGCTATTTTGTGATGGTGAAAAAAGAGGAGGAGAAAGACCAAAATGCCTAGCCCAAGTCCAAAGTATCTGAAGCCTTCAGCCTGGCTGCAAGGAGGTGACTTTGAAAGTTGTCTTTACCAGCAATGACTCTCTCATTCAGCCATATCCTCTAAAATTCCATCCGTGTCTCTCCTGGTGCTAAGTTCTCCAGGAACTTGCTGATTAGTTCTACAATCATCCAGACTAGGAGTCATATATTTCCAGTTTCTGTTGCCACAGATACTCTTATGATATAATGTTTATATTTTCTATCCCAACTTGGAACTCATTGATGAAGACTTGAAAAGTGGGCCTGTCCTAGAAAATCTATGATCATCTCCATGTGTAAAGATCACCCCAAAACTCAAGAGCACCCTTACTCATTTTACAGACCAGAAGGTGGGTAAAGAAAGGGGTGGAGATAGACTCAGGAATGGGAGGACTCAGTGGACAGAGAGCCAGGAACAAGATGTAGAAGCTGGAAGTGTGACTGAAAAGGCATGAAATTCATCCACATGGAACACCAGTCATTTTACACAAATAATCCCATTCATCTTCACTTCAACTTTATTGAGGGCAGAGCTACCTATTTTCCTAAAGATCTGGGCTCACAGATCTGGTGGACTCTAGTCCAGATCCTTGTGCACTTTGATCCTAAAGCCCAAGTTCCCCCCTACCTGAGTACCAAACCAGCTCTAGCTGGCTGATTTGGCTTCACCTCTACTCAGTTCCTGAATCTATAGATGTGGTCAGAGGGTCTCCAGGTCTGTCACTGGTTTTCCTCCACCACTCCTACGGTAGGTATTTTATTTCTTAATCCAGACAATGAGTGCAAATAAAAGAGGATCATGACATTTTTAAGGAGGATCTTTCACTTCCACTACCAGGTATAATTTGAAAATAATGTGCAATTTCAAATAATTCTTTTAATTGGATGGTTCTGAAGTGCCCCTGAGAGAGGCCCCAACTAAGGATGTTTCTGAGAGATACCCCTTTCCTGGGAGATAAACTCCTGCCTGGGATGGAGAGCTAAGAATGTGGCACAGCAGGAGAGCCTAGTTGTAGAGGCAGCAGGCTAAACGCTGGGATGCACAGCTGAAACCATCAGGGGAGGCCGGACCCGGTTTCAGGAGTTTGGGATTGTCCACTGGTAAGTTTTCAGAAACTGGAGGAGGATTTATGGATGTCACTTTTCTTAATCGATCCTTTATTTATTTTAAAAATTGTACTCAGGGCTGGGGATGTGGCTCAAGCGGTAGCGCGCTCGCCTGGCATGCGTGCGGCCCGGGTTCGATCCTCAGCACCACATACAAACAAAGATGTCTCTCTCTCTCTCTCTCTCTCTCTCTCTCTCTCTCAAAAAAAAAAAAATTAAAAACAAATTTAAAGATTGTACTCAGGTGCCTCTACCTAGGAAGGTGCATGGCTAGTGTTACTGGGTGGGGCTTTTGCATTAGTTCAGGAGTCTACATAAAAGTCAACTGAGTCAAGACCCCTAATGCTGCTCAGATTTGGGGGAAGGGGTTTCTGTAAACTGGGATTATTATAAGGAATCCCTTCCAGAATGCTACATCCCCACTAAATCCTGCCAGACAGAACAAAATGCTGAAGTCAGGCTTTGGCAATTGTCAGTTCACGTTTATTCCGTGCTTTGTGACTGGGGTGCAAAGAAAAGGAAATATGAGTCTTTTAACTCTTTCATCCCCGCTGTCCGTAAATTGGAAGGCAGTAACCAATGCTGGGGATCGGTCGCTTCTAGTTCAGTTCTTTGGCTCTCTGCGTCTGGCGCGGCCAGGAGGCGGTGGCGCCAACGCTGGCGGAAAGGGCGCTCATGGGCCTGGGCCCCGCGCTCGCTTCTCCCGGGGGGAAGCCGGGTTGCCAGGTTGAGTTAACGCCTCCGCCCGCGCGCAGATTGCCAGAGACTAAAGGCGCCACCTCTGGCGCTCAGGCGCGAGCCACCCCTCCCGAGCAACCATCCTCCCTTTCCTCTCCGCCCTCCTCTTCTCCTCCCCGGCCACGCGACTTCCCCGACCTCGGACTAACTTCTGAGCCAACAGGCGCAGGTAGCGCAGGGACCGTAGGGGTGCGGGTCGCCATTCCAGCGAGACACACAGGATGCAAGTGTGCGGGAGCAGCGCGGCGGGACGCCGGGTCTTCGATAGCATCTGCCCTAACAGGATGCTGGAGCTGCCAGGCCCGCCTCTCCGCAAACCCGTGAAGCCGGAGAGGAAGGTGGGGTTTCTGGTGGGGACCCGGAGGGGTCTGCGAACTCCCTGTCCCGAGGGCTGACCGGTATTCACTATTCTGTGCTCGGTTAGTTCGCCCCTCCGCGGAAGTTCTTTTCGGGATGCGGCGGCGGCAGCCCGGTGTCTGTATACGAGGACCCTCCGGACGTGGAGCCCGCTGCCCTGCCAGGTGAGCCCCGAGGCACGTGCGCGACCCTGCATTTTCCCCTAGGGGAAACTTCCCGGTGTCTCCGACGTCCTGGTGGGGGTCCCAGCGGCCAATCTGGTCAAGAGGCTTAGGGTCCGCCTGGTGTGTGTCTCTCGGTCTCCCTGCGCAGCCCTTACCACCATAGACTTGCAAGACCTCGCAGACTGCTCCTCTCTACTCGGGTCCGACGCGCCGCCTAGTGGTGACCCGGCTGCCTCTCAGGTACCTCCCCTTGAGGAGCGTTGCTGCCTCTGAAAATACAAACCTCATTCCTAAGTGGGGGTTTATTTCCGCAAAGGTTTGTCGCAGGCACCCACCACAGTCACGTTTAACTGGTGAAGGGAAGAGGCATGCGGAAACCTGAGCCTCCCAGATCCGAGTGTCCTCTTCCCTCATAGTATGTTGTGAAGGCTGCTGTTTCCAGAGCTGTTTTAGCCAAGTTTTACAGTGGGATTCACTCCTGCCCCTCCTCTCCGCATTTATTCCCTGGAGCTGTGACAAGGCAGGGAGGAGATGGAACACTGAGGGACCGAGTGGGTGAATCTGGGCAAAGTTGCCCTGGGCACCAGCGTACAGGATACTTGTCCTGTTTTTCTCTCAACACCCTCTTCCCAGCCATTCACTAACCATTTTCATTCTGTGGGTATTGAAGGAGAGTGGAAATCG